TTTCATTAAAACTACAGCATGCAATGTCTGACATTCCCCCTCCACAATCCATGATGATACCTCCTGGTAGTACCCCATCTTACCCTGAATTATGCTATGACCATGCTGGAAATGTGTTCGCCCATGATAATTTTGGTGCTTGGGTGTCTCATCCAGGCATCTGCAAAGTAAGTCTTATCAAATGATTGTTTACTGGCAGCTGATACTTGACTTATTATAGACTCTTACAACTGATTGGTCCTTTCAGTTTGAACATGGCGATGGTCTGGGTTATCAGGTACGTTGAGTATCATATGATGTTTTTGACTTGACTAACTATATACATGCAGCCTGCTTCTACCTACGCACTCACTCCAGCCTTCCAGTCCCACAAAGGCACACCTCCACCCTTGCTGGCATCCAGTTCTCGCCCTGCTCTATGTGAGGCACCAACCATGAATATAACTAACTGTTAAGAACCATGTTGCTCAAAGGAGAGAGACTGACTCAGAGGGGTTTGGCCTCAGCTCATATGCTGTGCCCCTTACCCAAGTATGTGCCCTTCATTTCAGATGAGGTCCGATGATGGTCTGATGAAGTCCAGAGGACTTCCGGAGGCTGGCTACTCTGCTGGAGAGCGCTAGAGGACTTCCGGAGGAGCGCAGGAGAGTTCCGGAGGAACGCAGGAGAGTTCCGGAGGAACGCAGGAAGTGCTCAGGAGAGTTCCCACTGCAAGGTAATACTTCTACAGGAAACAGGATGGAAGGATAGGAGGTCAGGAGGACAGGAGGACAGGATGACAGAGGACAGAAGGACAGGATGTCCGAAAGTACAGAGGGCAGGATGTCTGAAGGACAGGAGGATAGGATGTCCGAGGGTTAGGAGGATGGAGTGTCCAAAGGACAGGATGCCTGGAGGTATGAGGGACAGGAGGTCCAGAGGTCCAGAAGGAATAGGGGCTACATCGGACGAAGTCCAATGTAGAAACAAACAGGGGAAGACTACACTAAGGTAGAGTCAGAGGGTCAGGGATTGGACCTAAGTCCAGAAAGAGGGGAAGTGCTGGAAAGGCAGAGCTCCGGCCTAGGGAATCAATCCCTAGGCCTGATGGGTAGGACAGACTTAGCTGGACCAAAGTCCGAGAGAGGATTGGGCAAGTCTAAGTTGATATTCAAACTGAGGAACTACAGGAGTATCTACAGGGGTTATATACTGGACAATATCTGAGGGGATCAATAAGCAAAGGAGCAAGGCTATGTATGAGCATGTGGAAACACATTAGTAAGTAAGATGGAACATAAGTAAATGAACTTGGAGATGAAGACTTGTACAAGGATCAGTAAGCAAGATGGAAGAAGAGGTAACTGAAAGCCGGAAAGGTAGAGATGCCTAAATGGGGATAGGCACAGGATCTCGGACAGAGGGTGGGAATAGGTCCAGCATTAATATCCGGAGGTCCGGAGATCTGGGGATCCGGAAGACAAGGTGGATACAGGACCGGAATACGAGAAGGTGGATATAGTCTGGAATCCAAGATGAGGTGAAGTCTGAATGTCTTGCTGGATGGAGTGTACATAGGGTGGATGGGACAGGGGGTTATGGTTCAGGCTAGCAGTGGAGATCTGATGGTCCGGAGCTCAGGGGTAAATCCGGAGTGTAGTCGATCCTGCTGAGGTGTGGAGCACAGTGGAAGGGGATCTGGGAATGAGCTGGATATGAAGTGGGGTCTGGATGTAGGCTCAGAAGGCGTGGGAATATGATGGAACATGGGTCCGGATTGTGGGATATGACACTAACCCTGTGCTCCTCCCCCTACCTCACTCTGATGATATGGACTTGATTTACCCTGCCAGTATTGCAGAGGCCTGCGGCCATACTCCAGCCACCAAAACAGCAGGCACTCATCGCAAGGCCAAAGCCCCAAGGGGCAAAGGCAAGGAGAAGGAGAATGCTGGATACACTAACCCAAAGAAGTGTTCTCAAGAGGACAGAGATGAGGATGATGAAGCAGAAGCATGAGCAAGGCAAGGCCACCCTCAAGGGTCCAACAATTATACTGCCTTGGACATTAAAAGTCTCCTTGATGTAGTCCATGACAAGCTCCCTCTCAGCCAATGTGGGTGGCAGACTGTTCAAGTTAAGTTTGGCCAATGGGCCAAGGTGAACCACCGGCCTGAACGCAAACTCACTTCACTTGAAACAAAGTTTAAACAGGTAAGATTCAATTTGTCTCATGACTGTGACATTGCTCACAAGTAGAACTACAGTTGGTCAAGACTATGAAGCCAACTGGAGATGGCATGTGCCCTCCAGAAGTTACATGTGCCCATCACATCAAACAACTCATTAACAAGCGCGCAGGAACCCATGACCTGCACAACATGGATTATGACGCCATGGAAGATGATGACAGTTACTCTGTTGTCTCTGACCAGAACCAGGATGAGCATACCTCCCCCCCAATTCAGCATACAGTAATTGCCCACTCCACTCCTTGTACAGACGCCCCAGCTCCACATCACAATACTCGAGGAGTGGCAGCTATGGATTTACTCACTCGACTTTCCACTGCATTTGACCCAGCCACCCAATGCAACCATGACGAAGATCATGCCAATCGCAGCCTTGCCACCATGCAACTACTTACCCAAAGTCAGCAGCTCCATGATTCCAAAGCCACTATGGAGACCCTGCATGGCCAACTCTTCAATTTGCGTGCTTGCATGTATGACATTGAACATGAACGTGATCAGGCCAAGCTTTGCATTGAGATGATGCAGATGAGCAGATCCATGCACCATCAGCATGTTTGGATGCCCAAACACAAGAATTTGCATCAAGAGTGGTACCCTGAGGGTGGGGGATCCATTAGGTGGCTTACTGATGAAGGTGAAAGTACCACATCTGAGGGGCCCAAGCCACCATGCCTTCAAAGATGTGGCCCCTCTGGACGTCCCAAGTATTCTGATCGCCCATATTTCAAGGACTTTGCTGATGAGCCTATCAAGCCCATTCAAAAGGAGGGGTCAGTAGAGATTTGATTGTGCTATGATGCTTACAATGTACCTAGGGTACCAATGTACCATGCAAAGATTTCTGCTTCTCACCATTCTGCATCTTGCACTTGTTCCATCTTGAACGTCTTTCCTGTCTGCCTTCTCGTCTGTCTCATCATCTCCATTGAAATTGGCATTGCAGGTACTGGACAGTTGGATGCTACAATGTTCTACATCTTGCACTTGTTCCATCTTGAATGTCTTTTCCTTTGTCTTCCCCTTTGTCTGACCTCTTGTCCATCTCATCATCTCCATCAAAATCAGCATTGCAGGTACTGGATGGCTGGATGGTACAATGTTCTACATCTTGTGCTCATTCTGTCTCGAACATCTTTTCCTTTGTCTTCCCCTTTGTCTGACCTCTCATCCATCTCATCATCTCTGTCGAAATTGGCATTGCAGGTACTGGATGGTTGGATGCTACAACATTCTACATCTTGTGCTCATTCCGTCTTGAACATCTTTCCTGTCTGCCTTCTCATCCATCTCATCTGCATTGAAACTGGCATTGCATTCCTCATCTGATATCATCATTACAAGTTTTACATGTTGTATCTACTGGAATTCCAATATGACATGGAAGCACAAGACTCGATCCTTCTTCCTCTGCTCTGAAAATAGCATGTTTTCAAAGCCTCGCCACACATCTAGATCATCCTCAGTAGCTTGCCAATGCTTCATGTACATGGTCCGTATCCGATCGACCCCAACATGTATGGCATGCAGGTTGTGCAGCTGAAGACAGATTTCAATAAGGTCACTGTGAGCTTCTTGGTTAGTGATGTCAAGTGGTATGTGTAGCCTTCCAAAGGCATCTTGGATAGCTCATATGCCCCATTCTGCTGTTTGACGGTAAGAGAGTAGTTTGCGGTTGAATGCCATATGCTCCTCTATCTCGGCAGCTGAGCCACACAAAACTTGGCCATGTTTCAGAGGTGTGCAAATGTGTCTGTCAATGGAAGTCATCCCACAAGGGAACGCAGTATCTGCAACGATGTAGTAGTCAGGAGGTGTGTTGAGTCGAAGTTGAGTATAGATGTGAGAGGTGAGACGAGAGTCATGCCAGCTGCCAGGTGCATTCATCCTTGCTGCAATCACAATGCCTTTGTAAAGTAACTATTGAGTACAAATTGTTGGAGAAAGACCAAAAACACACCTTCAGCAGAAAATGCTATGACTGAACTGATAAAATGTTTGGAAAGCCATCCGTTGTAGGTAGCATTTTCAATATCAACATCATCTGAAGTCTGCACAGGGAGTTTGAGCCCATCGATGCTTCCAAAAGCACCTTGCAAGCATGATGAAAGTTTAATACAATTCATGTGGGTCTAGATTAAATAGACACTCTCAGATCGTGCATGTGAAGGCAAATGTCTGTAGTATTCACCTAGATTAAATAGACACTCTACATAATGTAAGCATAGGTGAATATGAATAGAAACTAAGTATCTTGCCTCAGATCATGCACATGAAGGCAAACATCTGAGGTAACGAGTTGAAATAGTGCTGGCTAAATAGCTTGAGTGCTCTTGTAAGTAAGTGGGACTTGGAATAACATCAGGAAATCAACCCGAAGTTGATATGACCAGATATAATTTGTCATTGCAAAACATTATTACATGTCATGTTTTAGCATTAGATACCATTATCATGGTGTCACACATATATGAATGAAGATATGACTATGCTAGAAATATCACCTTGATGTGTATTTTGTATTAGGAAATCAGCACAAACTTGTTTTTCCTAGATTTAGTTGGTAAAATCATATCAAGAATCTACTGAATTATATAAGATTATATACAAAGATAAAGTTTGATATAAGCATGACAAATTGATATTAAATGAACAAGGATTGTAAGAAAGCCAACATTCTGATGTAGATATGTCATGTCTTACAATTGTATTAACAATTCTCTACCAATTGATCTTCACTACCATCACTTGCATAACATTGCACTAACCATGTCACATGACAGATGCTTAGGTAAGTCGGAGTTTCAATTTTTTCAACCAACTTCGAAACTTGTCTTCTGTCATCTCATCTACACTCTAAGTACACCCTTCTGGCCCCTCAAGCCAACATCCTCTTCTCTCCCTCCCTGTCTCTTCATGGTGATATCTTTGGCCCTATGTGGTGGTTTTTCCTCCTTTATGGTCTCTGGCTCCTCCCTGGCCCTTTCCCTCCCTGGCCCTCCTCCCTGGTCCCCCTCCCTGGTCTTCCTTCCTGGCCCTCATCCCTGGTCCTCCTCCCTGGTCCTCCTTCCTGGTCCTCATCCCTGGTCCTCCTCTCTGGTCCTCCTCCCTGGCCCTCCCTGGTCCTCCTCCTTGGCCTTCCCTGGTCCTCCTTCCTGGCCCTCCCTGGTCCTCCTCCCTGGCCCTTATGGTCTCTTCCTTCTCCTCTGAGACAGGTAACTATCATGTCCCTCTCTAGCTTCTGTCCTATCATGTTTCTCTGCTCTCCTGTATTAGTACTACATGTGTATACCCTAAACCCAATTAAAATTTGATTTGAATTATAAAATGATAAAATGAGTGTCAAGGTTGAGACTTTTCAGTAATTTCTTGGCAATTTTATTTGAAGTAGTCTGGCATTAGTGTTACTCAAAGTAAATTTTGCTCTGTAAAACAAACTCAGTAAAGCGTGTAAAAAGCTCATTTAAGTCTTCAACAAACTTGGTAAAGCGTGTAAAAAAGCTCATTTAAGTCTTCAACAAACTCAGCATAAGACACACGGCACACAGCGGACTTGGAAACACTTAGTGAAATTTCGAGACATGTATACTACTACACAAATATGTAGATGGTAGTTAATGAGCGTGAAATAAATGCACCGCGAGATCAAAACAGAGCGCGGGAGCATGAACAGCACAAAAACCAAAAACGAGAGCAGCGGGAGGGGTAGATGGAATGAGAGCAGCCGGAGGGGCAGAAAAAGCTACAGCGGGAGGGGCAGAAGGAACGAGAGCGGGGGGGGAGCAGAAGTAACGAGAGCGGGGTGGACAGAAGTAATGAGAGCAGCAAAAGTAATGGGTTCTGTGGGAGGGGCAGAAGGAACGAGAGCAGCAAAAGTAATGGGATCTGTGGGCGCTAGCAGGGGAGGAATGATTTGCGAATCTGTAAGTTGATGGCGGCTTAGTGGAGTGATATGAGGGGGGGGGGCTGAGCCCTGGCGGCACATTTGGAATGCGTGGAGGGGCCACTGTAAGATAGATGGCGGTAGTGGATGGCTCGGCGGAGTCCATCGCTCTCAGGCTACAGCGCACTGGAGGGTTGCCTCCAAGTCGTGCAGAACGACAAAGGCATTGGCGAACAGCAGGCATATTTGGAACTCAGCCACGATGCCGGCCTGACTTCCAAACCTGCCGCATGCGGCTGTGCTTGCTTACAAGAGTTTTGACGGTGTTAGCGAGTTTGTTTTACAGAGCAAAATTTACTGTGAGTAACACTATTATAAAACTTTATTGAAGATGGCAGATGTTTGCAATATGCATCATAATTGTGTCCTTGGCAATTTTTCCCACTGTAACCTGCCTATCTAAAGCTTTGTCAAGGCTAAGTGATATTATAAGACTTTGTTGAAGATGGCAGGTGTTTACAACAAGTGTCATGATTGTGTTTTTGGCAGTTTTTTCCAGTGGAACCTGCCTATCTAAAGCTTTGTTAGGCTGAGTGCAATTATGATAGGTATTATATGAATTTTATGATAGTGTTAAGGTCACATGCTCAAGGGGGTCGGATCACAAGGGCTTGGCCTCAGCTCGTATGCTGTGCCCCTTTCCTGAGTATGTGCCCTTAATTTCCAGGGGCTAGAATAGTTGTCTGGAGTTTCCAGGATTTGACTAGGGCGGGTAATGGATGTCCAGATCTGAAATGTGAGATAAATCCGATGGATGTCTGGATGTTACTTGGACAAGTGGATAAGGCTAATCTGGACGGATTCCAGACTAGAAACTAACAGGGGATAGACTACCCTAAGGTAGAGCCAGAGATGTAGTCTAGGATGCAATCCTAAGACTTGGAATGTGACAAGAGACTAGGCTCAAGTCCGGAGGACACAGGAATGAGCAGGAACTAAGATGATATTCAGACTGAAGTATTTCTGAGAGTTACAGGAGGTCTATATACTGTAGGTATCATATAGGAATCAGTCAGCAAACACAAAGGCTATGTACAAAGCATATGCAAAGTCTATTAGTAAGTAGGACAGGTCACAAATAATGCATATTGGAAATGAAATGTATGTAATGGATCAATAATCAAAAGGGAAACATAGTTAACCGGAGTCCAGAGACAGGGGAAGTCTAAATGGGGTTGGGCACTGATATAGAGTTTGGATTCCAGAAGGAAGATAAAGATAGATCAGATCATTGGAGATCCAGATCTTGGATCTGGATGTCCGGAGAAGCAGATTTAGAGTTGAGGGTCCGGAATGGCATATGACAGATAGACAGAGCTTTACAAAGCTATGTCATTTTCAGGTCAATTGCCTGATGAATGCGAGAAGGTGCTGGCCTTAGCATACAATGGATTCAGTAGGTACAATAGAAAGTAAATAACAAGAGTGCACAAAAGGAAACATACAAGCCACTAGGCATAATGAACAAAGACAATAGCAAATAATGACGCACCTCAACTGTGGGCACACTTGCTCTTATTTCCAACATGTGAGTGACACACAACTACGAGGGCACTACAATGCTCGAAATCAGGTCCCGTTGTCTTAATAACTGAGAGTCTTATATAAATGCGTGTAAAATGTAATGACACCACAATTACACTAGGATAAGACTTCTTGCCAGTCCTCAATTAACACAGTCTACAACTTTTCTTCTTTCATGGTAGATAACGTGTGAGTTCTTGGGAGGCTCACTAAACCAATCTATGTGATTAACTTAGCTGGAGCTTTTGTGTTATATCCCAACTTATAAACTTGTCTAGGATAAACTGTCTAGACACTGGAACATGGTTCCTCGTTAAGATAATCCTCTGTAGAGACTATGGTCTCAAATATGAATACATTGACCAAAGACTGGTTGGTCAAATAGGCACAAAGTGGTGAGAAACTGGTCTCACAAATGATCAGATTGACCAAAGCTTGTGTTGGTCAATATCAGAAAACTAGGTGAGAAGCAGGTCTCACAAATGAACAGATTGACCAAAGCTTGTGTTGGTCAATATCAGAAACTAGGTGAGAAGCTGGTCTCAAATAAACTAAGTTTCTATCGTAAGAAACTTATGTAATCTCAAGGGAATGTCTTTTCCCTGCACTTGGTACTTCAAAGGGGCTTTTCTTTGTAAGCAACAATCTTCACAGTGAGTAGCTCAAACTGAGATTCAAATGATTGCAAGTGGGAGATCCTATTTTTTGGGGGAGAATGGGCCCTCCTTATATACATTTTGTGTGGGAATATTATGTAAGTAAAAAAGCGGAGCAATGACATCAGAAGTGGAGCAGAATATTCCAGAAAGTGGAGCAGAACATTCCAGAATATTCCATAGGTGGAGTAATGACGTCAGAGGTAAGTCATTGTGGAGCAGAACATTCTAGCAAGTGGAGCAGAACATTCCAGAACAAATGATATCATAACTTTCAGCAGAATACTTGCAGGAGTATCTGTGGAGCCATATGACATCATTATGACATCATACCCTGTAGGTACAATTTTGTGAAGTATCTGATGGGTCAGAGCATCCCAATAGAAAAATAAATCAAGGAAATACTAGAGAAAACAACTCAGAAATAATAATACAATAACAAGACACAAAACACAGGCTTTTTAGATAGGTTTTTGTTAGGCTTTGAACTTTTCTCTATGGTTTTCTCTAGCCAAAGTGAATAAGCCAAAGGCAAGGCAATACCTTAACCTTCTTGCTTCACAATATCAACTAGGTCATTATGTGATTCCCATCTCACAAATGACTTTTCTTCAAGATATAATAAATTCATGAATCACAGAGGGGAAACTGAGCTATATGACCAAGGTTTGAAACCAAGGTATGGGTTGACTAGCCTGATGCCTAAGCTAACAGACTTTGTCTTTTAGGGGGGCTACCTAGTAGTCATGTCCATGCATGATTCCCAAATCATGCAGGACACTGTGGCCATCAAATTGTGGCATCAACCATAGAGCATAGAGTTTGTAAGAGCATGGGCAGTCCAGAGGTAAGATAGTGAGAAACAGTGGCAGGGATCAATGCAAAAATCTGTTGGAGGCTAGTCTCATGCATGGTGGAGTTGAGATAGTGAAGCATGAGGCCAAGTGCTCCAGCAGCATTGAGTGAACGGCGATTCAGGTGTGGAATGCCATGTGAGTTGGTATCAGGACGTGTGATGGGCTTATGGTACCACAGACTGGCAAAGCCAGAAGTAAGGATGAATTCAAATGTTTGAACATCTGTTAAGAACCATGCTCAAGGGAGAGAGAGACTGACTCAGAGGGGCTTGGCCTCAGCTCATGCGCTGTGCCCCTTACCTGAGTATGTGCCCTTCATTTCAGAGGAAGTCCAATGATGGTCCGATGAAGTCCAGAAGACTTCTGGAGGCTGGCTACTCTGGTGGAGTGCTAGAGGACTTCCGGAGGAGCACAGGAAGTGCTCAGGAGAGTTCCCACTGCAAGGTAATACTTCTACAGGAAACAGGATGGAAGGTATGGAGGGCAGAACATCTGAAGGACAGGACATCCAGAGGTCCAGAAGGAATAGGGGCTACATCAGACTTTGTCCGATGTAGAAGCAAACAGAGGTAGACTACCCTAAGGTAGAGTTGGAGGGACAGGAAGTGGATCAAAGTCCGGAGAGAGGGCAAGTGCCGGAAAGGCAAGACTCCAGCCTAGGGGACAAATCTGAAGGTCTGGAATTCCAGCCTAGGGAATCCATCCCTAGGCCTTATGGAAAAGGACAAACTCAGATGGACTGAAGTCCAGAAGAAGATTGGGCAAGTCTAAGGTGATGAGGACAGATCTAAGATGATATTCAGACTGAGAACTCTACAGGAGTTGTACAGGGGTTATATACTAGAGGATATCCGAGAGGATCAGTAAGCAACAGAGTAAGGCTATGTATGAGCATGTGGAAACACATTGGTAAGTAAGACAGAACATAAGTAAATGAACTTGGAGATGAAACTAGTACAAGGATCAATCAGCAAGATAGAAACAGAGATAACCGAGAACCAGAAAGGCGGAAATGCCCAAATGGGGATAGGCACAGGATCTCGGATGGAGGGTGGGAATAGGTCTGGAGATAGTAACAGTTAATATCTGGAGGTCTGGAGATCTGGGGATCTGGAAGGCAAGGCAGAAACAGGACTGAGATATGTGAGGTGGTGGATGTAGTCCAGAATCCGAGAGGAGGTAAAGTCCAGATGTCTTGCTGGACAGAATGTGCATAGGGTGGACAGGATA